CCCATGTACTTTTTCCTCTTGAATTTGTCCTTCATAGACCTCTGTTATTCTTCTGTATTTACACCCAAAATGCTGATTAACTTCACATCAAAGAAGAATATTATCTCCTACAGGGGATGCATGACCCAGCTTTACTTTTTCTGTGGTTTTGGTATTTCTGAAGCTTATGTGCTGACATCAATGGCCTATGATCACTATGTGGCCATCTGTAACCCACTCTTATATAATGTTGCCATGTCCCCTAAAGTGTGTTCCATCCTTATGCTTGGTTCATATTTGGTGTCGTTTTTGGATGCAACGGCTCACACTGGATGCATGCTGAAACTGACCTTCTGTGATGCAAACACCATCAACCATTATTTGTGTGACATCCTCCCTCTACTCCAGCTCTCCTGCACCAGCACTTATGTGAATGAGCTGGTGGTTTTCATTGTCGTGGGTATGAATATCATCGTGCCCACTGTCACTATCTTTGTCTCTTATGGTTTCATCCTGTCCAGCATCTTGCACATCAGCTCCACTGAGGGCAGGTCCAAAGCCTTCAGCACGTGCAGTTCCCACATAATTGCTGTTTCTCTGTTCTTTGGATCAGGTGCATTTATGTATCTTAAACCATCTTCTGCTGTGTCTATGGATGAGGGAAAAATCTCCTCTGTCTTTTTCACCAAAACAGTTCCTTTGATGAACCCTTTCATCTACAGCTAGAGAAACAAAGATGTTAAACTTGCTCTGAGAAAAACCCAGAGTAGGAGAGTGTTTTGGTCAGAATCACTGTCTGTGGGTATAGTTATAGGACTGCTATATTCTCTTTCTTTCATCAGAATAGTTTTAGGTGGGAGTGTTCATGTCCTATATCTTTCTTACCATAGTGAAGGAAATTTGAGTCATCTGTCAGTTTGTTTTCAGGTTTTTTTTTAACTTGGTAAAATATACTTTATTGATATTATATGACAAGTTAGAGCTCTCCATACCCCTCCTTTATAGGGGTAATGGATGGAAACTATATAGAGGTCAGGGTATTCTCAGCATTTTTGTGGATGTGTTGGGGCAAGGACTCCCCAGGAGCTGAGGGCCCCACTCTTCCTCTTGTTATCTCTGGGGCTGGTCATCCACGGGGCTCTTACTCCTTGGAGGCCATGTGGTCCATAAAGTCCACCACCAGCCAATTCATGTCATACCAGGAAATGAGCTTCACAAAGTGATCATTGAATGTACTGCCAGGATCAACATGGAAGGTGGAAGAGTGAGCATCACTGTTAAAGCCCCAGGAGACAACCTGGTCCTCAGTGGAGCCCAGGATGTCCTTGAAGGGGCGCTCCCATGCCTGCTTCATCACCTTCTTTATGTCATCATATTAGGCAGCTTTCCCTAGGTGGCAGATCAGATCCACAACTGACAATTTAGGAGCAGAAACGGAAGGCCATGCAGAGAGTTTCCTATTCAGCTCAGAGATGACCTCACCCAAAGCATTGCAGTACCAGTAAAAGAAGGGATGTTGTTGTGGGCAGCCCCTTGGCCATCACACCACAGCCTCACAGATATGGTTATGCACAGTTTCTTGATGGCAGGATGGCAGAGACTATAGTCACGAGTCCCTCTACAATGCCATTGTTGTCATGGATGACCTTGGCAAGCGAGGCCAAGGAGTTGGTGGTATAGGAGGCATTGTTGACAGTCTTGAAGGAATTGTCATACTTCTCATGGTTTGCACACATCACAACCATGGGGGCATCAGCAGAAGGGGCAGAGATGATGACCCTCTTAAACCCACCTTCACTTAAGCTCCAGTATTCTCCATGGTTGCAAAGACCCCAGTGGACTGCACAGCATACTTAGCATCAGCATCACCCCATTTAATGTTGGTTGGCTCTCACTCCTGGAAAATCGAGATGGGCTTTGCTTTGATGCCAGGATTCCTGTTCTCAACCATGACTGTACCTTTGAGTTGCCGTGGGTGGAATCATACTGGAATGTGTAGATTATGTACTTGAGGTCAAATG